CGGAAGATGTTTCGCGTCGGAGGGAGGTCAAGAAGAAGGCGAGAAAGCTGAGGTTCCAGGCATAGTGTTGTTGGGCGGTTTTTATTTTTGGCCTGTCTCTGCATGCTCGCTGAATCTGAGAAATGGAAGACAATTCGCGGACTTCTCAGGATGCGGGACTGGACGGTTTGTACACTATGCGGCATCCTCAGGGATGCCCAACGACCGAGGATGGAAAGCGTGCTCGCGCAGCCCGACGCGTGCCGAAAACGACAGTGAGTTTAGACGAAGGGGAGAGTCTGGTAACGTGCAATTTTTCCATTTTAGGTCTGAGTTGGAGCGAAAATGATATGCTTGCTGATGCATAACGCTGTGCTGCTCGAGGATGCGAGTGTTAGTCATGAAGGTATACCAACGCTCTTCCGATGTTCATCAAGTATAATCTGTACGAAGACCTCTCTAGCTGTGATCGTGGGGAGATACTGGCATGGAAACGCTAGCACTCGCCCATGGCATGGCGTTCTTGTCCTCTTGTCTAGCAAGTATTGCGGAACGGCGGTTCTCTCCGACGACACGGCGCACCACATCAAACATCTGCCTCGTTGGATACCTGACCGTAGAACCGTCTGCTCCTATCTGGATCCCTGAGTACGTCGTCGAGCGCGCCCGAGTCTCATCCATAGAGATGACGGGATCCAACGAAGGGGTTTCATAACAGCGGACCTCCCCGTCCATCCCAGGACACATCTCCCCACCTCCAATAAGGACTTCGTCGCCAACATGACAGGGACATCATTCACGCCCCTCCAGAACAAAAGACTCACCGACAACATCATTGCCCCAAGTATTAATGCCGCAAGCACATGACCAATCTTCACCGCCGCCACTTCCAAGCCGTTTAAAGCGCAGAGCCTCGAGGCCGCGTCCAGTAGACCGAGAGGTCACATGGCCACCTGGCAGGGCAGCATGATTGGCATCCAGAAACCACGTGATGGCGCAGCGGTCAAAAACACAGTGACCGGTGAAGCAGCGAAGCGCAACGACACTTTTCACCGCGAACATCTCATAGGTCTAGAGAGGAGCCGCGAATAATCTGGCTGCCCCCGATGTCCTCCTGGAACGTCCTTTTGGTCTGGAGAGATGCCGCGGACATGGCCTGAGGGGGGCATCAAGTGATTAGATGGCGTTTCCAGGTATATGCCATCTAATCAAGAGTGTCTGGGAAACGGCTAGCAGCAGAGGATAAGCCCCGAGGTTCGCGTATTGCCTTGCCAGATGACACGACACTGCAATGGCGTTCGAAATCGAATCCACTCGCGTGCGGGATCGGGCAGGTCAGCGCCTCCACAGCCTAAATATTAAGGAGACATCATGGCGGATTGGCTGGTTGGGCCTTGTATATGCTCCTTCAGGATGCAAAGCCAAAATAACGATGCCTTGAGCATAGCCAAACAGCAAGCAGGAGAGGCCATGCCATGCCAGTCCAGCCCAGCCCTTCCATTCTAGGCTTGGAAGGAGTCGTTGGAGTTGTCTCTCGCTAACGCCCGTCGAGCGCCCATTGTTGGTCCTACGTCTCGGGAAGCCTTATGGGCAGAAGCCACAACCCCAATGAGGACGATGAGGAAGCCACCGACGTGTGCGAGGCACTCGAAAGGGGGCATGTCTAGTATGTGAGCCATCGATTGATGAGAGAACAAATAGCGGGAAATTATGGGCGTCCTGCCAACCAGCTGATGCACGAGTGCGGCCCCCTTCCAGCCTGTGTCTCGGCACAGCTGGGGTTCTACAGAGGCTGCCAAGCGTCGACGACCATGTCGTTGGCTGCCGACTGGGCGGCGCTGGCGAAGGGAAGGGGAGGCTTTACCTATGGCAGGGTACGATCTAACGAGCTCGCTCTGGTGAGCGCCCGCAACAAACATCTGGCAAGATGTTCAGCACACCCAGTGTGACGCCTCTCGCACCTCGTCGCCGTCACGTTACTTGCGAGGGGCAACCCCGGTCAGGCCAATCGAAGTACCGAAGCCCCTTGCTGGCTGAGTCTCACCCCTGTCATGGCAGAACTGGCGCCTGCCCGCATTGCTCTGGAGTGTGGTGTGGGGACATTTGGCGATTCTCGACTCGGGAGGATGAGTCAAACGTGAGCAAGCCATCACAAAGGCATCGTCATTCTTGAGTAGTTCTTTTTACTGAAAGGTCGGTTGTCTGGTCTTTCCGCGTGCTGGGATTTCAGGGATCTTAGGAGGCATCCAATGCGTTGTCAATCACCTTGGCGGCATGGAGGAAACCACCCAGGTCAAATGTTTCGCCTCGCCGTCGCCGAAGTATTGAGTACTTCTGCCTGTCGCGAAATGCAAGACAACCTGACCGCCAGCTTGGGATCTGCGATTGTCGATGCAGCAGGGCAAAGCCACAGCAGGGGCGCGCTTGTAACGGAAGCATTCGAGAAAAGACGTCTACCTCTCCCTGCGTTTGCTCGGCTATCATGCATTTTCAGCCACCTGTGCAGGGGTCGAAGGGCCGTTGTGCCACGTCACCAGCCTCAGAAGGCAATGGAAGTCCCGTGACGTTCGCCCGACCAGCGGTGAGGCCTGTGGCGGAGTGCATGGAAAAACATCGGGCTATCCGAGTGAGGCCGTCGTGGCGTGTTGGTTGCCTCTTTTGGGCCCCCATCAAACAGAGAAAATTGCCGCCAACAGACGCCGTTGCGTATGCTGCATGCGGGCAGCGACTTGGTTCCGGCTGCTAAACGGACGGCGTGCTTTTCGTCAATGCAAAGGCACGCCAACCTGGTGGTGCTATTTTCAACCTTGGATCATCTACCCTTCTTCGCCAACCTGGCAGCCGGGATAGACGCGGTTAGCATGCGATGGTTGCCACCGTCGTATGCAGGTTTCAGCTGTCGACAGAGCTGTTGACTTTTTCTCACTTCTCCAATGATGCGGTTTTCTGACGGCGCGCTGATGATAGCCAAGCGACTGGCTGGCTGATATGCGGGCCCTGGCCTTGGGTTACAGGCACCATGGTCGACACATCGGACGGCCGGCCTTCGTCGAGGCCAGAGACGGGAACTCGGGTGATGGGTCGGTGACCTGGGCACAATTGGATTTGGACGACAACACACGCAAATTGGTATGGTAACCACGGCCGACACGGTCGCAACGAGCGAAATCGGACATCCCTCGAATTGCGTGCTGTCCGCCACCCTGGTGGTCTTACGACCCCAGATTTGCCGCGTCGCACAAGGAAGAGCCGTTGCCGATGGTTTGCTCCCGGAGAGTCTCGCTTACCCCCGTCGCCTCTTCCGCGGACAGACATGGAGGCTTGAGGACGTCGCTTGGATCTTCAGACAGTCCAGGCTTCCCCCTGTAGCTTGATCCCCTATGAGCACGATTGCAATCGAGGTAATGGGACTAGAGGATTGGCTCGGCCCATGTTCCTGCGGCGTCGCGGGAAGCGTAAGACATGCAGATGTCTGTTTCAGACACGGTGATTCGTCATTATTCGATCCTCACCAACCCAATGAGATGCCCGAGAAGGGGTCGACCTGGAAGTAGATTTTCCTGGGCTGGCGGTCGTCCAATGGCAAAATCACAATCCCCCGGTCAGCGCGTACAATGGCCTTGTTCCTATGCTCTGCCTACTCGCAGCCCCTTTCTGCACGTTCAAATGCGTGGTTGGATGTCGTCCTGGATGCGCGGAAAGGGACGGGGTACAGGTTCGGGTCTCTGTTAGCGGGAAGTATCTTAGAGCCCGTTCGAGAAAAAGGACGGTCCCGTCTTGGTGGCCACGTTTACAAGGGTCTGCCTAGCGGAACATCCCACCCCCCTCCCTCCCCAAGTATGATTCATTCATGATAACGCAAGCTTCGATACTGATAAAATCTGGTAGCCGACGATGAGGCATCTGCGAAAGCCCAACCCAGCTTCATGCGCGATAAGTGAATGAATGATGGTCAGAACTAGGCCGTGGCGTTCCATTTCTGTCAAGGTGCACAATATGACTGACCACGGTCCATGGGGCCTCAAAATATGATATTTGATAGGCAATTAGTCTCTGGACAGGGATTTAAATCTAAGGAGGGGTACAGAACAGAGGCTGGGAGGATTGGGTCCTGTATATCGGAGCCGAGCGCAGCGTTTGACTGTTGGCCATGTTTGGGTTTCCGTTGGTTGGGGGCGCCTGCGCACCAGCAGGTCGGACGCTCTCACTGAGCGTGGTGCAGATGGAGGAGGTTTCGGATCGTCGAGTCGCGCTTGTCCGCAATGCATTACGCGTTCAGATCATTGTCGAGCAGGCGTTGGCGCACCTCTCATCGTGTTAATTGCTGGCCATGGCGGAAACGGCGGTCCCTTTCCAACGACTGTGAAGGTATGTGGACGCAGTTCACAGCAAATTCATCAGCTGTGAATCCTGAAATGGCTAAAGCCAGTCACATAGCTGGCCGGCGGAGTCGATGAGTCGTCTCTTGTCGATGCCCACACAGGGGGCCAAGGTTGTTCATGTAGGGAGTTGGCACTCTGGGCGATCTCGCTGGCCCAGGATGTCCCTCCCCTAGTGTGGTCGGGGAGAAACACCTGTAAAACGACGGCCAGTAGCTGGGTGGAGAAGAGATAGCGTGGTCATGAAGGAGGGTGGAGGGTGACACAGCAGTGGAGTGAGACAAGGAGAAACCTGA